ATTAATAAGTCACCTTTATCATTTACGATGAGAGAAATGGCAATACCTTTTACACAGATCGAATCGGAATTTATTACTTTCGTTCAACGCTGCTACAATTGCAGTTAGAGCGCTCTTCAGAGCAGGTTCAGAAATGTGACAGTTAATGTGAGTGATTTATGTCACAGCAGCATAAATACTACACACGATGACAGCAATGGCTTTAGTTAACTGTAACCTTGCTACCGCTAATGTTGTCCTTCCGTAAATCGTATATATTATGACTATATATACGAGTATATATCCAGTAAATCAAAGCTAAATTGTTTTTTCCCTCATATTAAAGTAAACGATTAACTATAAATCTGTAAAAAAATTTAAAAAAAAATCTGACTTATACTATTAACGGTCGCCGAAAAGGACTGATTTCTAAAGCGCGAAAACGATCTACAAAATCTTCGGGGAGACACTCACTAACAAGTGGCAGCTGTGATCGTGACTTTAATACTAAAGCTTTAATCCACAAGTAACCTTGACAAACTGAATTATCAAGATTAACGTAAGAGATATTTCATTTATACAGGAAAAAGTAATGTCTAAGCGTAAAAATTTTAAAAAAAACGCCTCATTACAATTTAAATTTAAATCAAATAGGGAACGGAAAAAAAAAAAAAAAAAAAAACGCTGAAACTCTGTATTACTAGCTAATGGTTTTAACCTAGATTTTAATGATCTATACTAATTTATTATGTTTGGAACTTTTAGCTATCCGAAGCAAATCTCATTAAAGATGGTTAAAAAAGTCCCAGTTTTATATTAAGATAAATAAACATTTTACTAGTGGGCCCACTAGCGACCGAGCGATAATGTTGCTGAATGCTAGCAGTTCGACGTAGGTTCCATTGCTGGCGAACGTACTGTCTGCATGGGCGCTTGCAATAGTTTCTCCCATATGTAACATGGATACGAGCCAGTTTCTCTTTGAAAGTCCTCCACGAAGATATTTCGTCTCTAAGGCCATAACCATTGCCGTAACCAGGAAAACAAACCAACTTTTAAGAATTTTTTTTTGGGGGGGGGAGGAAGATTGACCTCTTTGTAGATCGTCACCACACTTCCCATTATTTAATATTGTTCTTGAAAACTTCTCACCCTTTATTAAAATTAATCATCCAACTAGACGAGCAAGAAGTAGTTCTAGAGGATTTCATAATCAAGTAGCTTAAAACTTTTGAGTTAAGAAATAAAACTTGACACCAAAACAATAATAAAACAAATGCTGGAAATTTTAAAAGCCTTATTAGCAAAAGTAAATCACAGAAGGCCACGCGTTATCGTCGGAAACGTTTCGGAAAAAAATCAGATTTACGCATTAATCATTTAAAAAATTATTATCATTGCCCACCCTCTTTCGCGAAGTTGTTTCATCACTTTCTTGTTTTGATGGTCTATTTAATCTTCATTAATTACACACCCTGCAGAAGGAGAACAAGTTGCGGTTTTCCCCTGTACCATTAACACTAATTTTAACAATCCAATTATTTCTAAACTACATTTTCAACTTCTGTTCCGATAAGATTGTGAAAATGGAACGAAAACAAAAATCTGCAAAATGTCAAAATATAACCATTTGAGGGGGGCGAGAATGAGGAAAGTCTGTATCAGTGTACACAGAGTGCCTACAAAGTTAAAGGACAAATTTGTTTGCTGATTCTAGCCAATGTACCAAACGATAAGTGACAGAATTTATTGTTATAAAATCTCGATTTGCTTTTCTTAAAATTTCATTTGTCTTACGGACAGAATTTTCTATGTAGTTACTCGTTAGCTATGATCCGGTTAACATCTGCTGTCATGGATTCGGAAGTAATAATAACAATAATATTTTATTGTAAATCAACAAAATTTTGTTTTATATTTTCAAACACATTGTGATTGGAGATCAGGCTTTATTTACGACCATGAGATAAAACGGCAGACATCTGCTAAAGACTCTTCACCATTGCTGAAGAAACTTCAGTTTTATAAATCTCTAGCAAGGTAGAATGTCGGCGATCTTTTTTAAGTGGGGAATGATAATTTGTAAGAATTAGTTCCTGAAAGATATTAGGTGAACTACATATTTTATAAAGGCATAATGAATGGACGTTTGAAGAACGTTCAGTGCGTTAAGCCCGAAAAGTTTAATCGAAAAATCTACTTTTTGCTACACAACAATGCGCTGTCACAGAATTCCTTTCTTACTAAACAATTACTAGCAAAGAAAAATATCGCAAGTCTTAAAAACTACTTTGTTCATCAGGTTTGTTATCTTCAGTTTTTCTTTCCAGAACTGAAATCGCAATTTAAAATTAATTATCTCAATAGCATTGAAAATATTCAGAAAACTCTAACCAGACATTCCAAAAGATGAATATTGCGAAAGAATCAAGCATCTGTCTGAATGTGCCAAGGAATCTACAGACTTGTAAGAACTGTACAGGGTGGCTCAAGAAATCTGAACTCAAAGCAAGTGAAAAATCCAAAAACTGTGAGATGATATTCTATCGGGGGGGGGGCAAGGTAAACCAAGCCGGACATGAGAAATTTTACTTGATTTGAGTTCGGTTAAACTTGGACTACCGATATTTTGAAGGCTAAAAGATAAGATTGGTGTTTTCTTTATTTATTCGATTTTGTACAAACTTAATCCTCAAACTCTGCACGCATACTGAGTATGAAAGAAAAGTTAGCGATCAAACCAGCAAGTATTAAAATTGTCTTTTCCTTTCCAAACCAGCAAGTATTAAAATTGTCTTTTCCTTTCCAAACCAGCAAGTATTAAAATTGTCTTTTCATTTCCAAACCAGCAAGTATTAAGTAAAATAATGCTATTTAACTATCTTTTAAATAAGGTTCCGCTGCAACTTTCCAACTAACTATAACAGAAAGCACATACAGTGCTGGCCAAAATTGTGGACACTTTTGGAAATTTTTATGTTTTTGAACTTTGTATGCTTATAGAAAATGTTACGTTTCACAAAATACAAACTTGTATATATCATTTTAAAGAGAATTTATTACTGAATTCAATACAAAAACACAAAATTCAATTATTTGCAATACAAAAAAAGTTATATGTACTTTAATATAAATAAAAAACACAGTTATAAAGTGGTTTGTAATGTCTAGCTTTCCTGGCCAATCACTGTTCTTGTTCTGAGAACCAATCAAATGTTAATGACTGAAAGTAGAAGCTGACATCATGTTTACACTTGAAACAATTCATTATTTTGCTTTGTTCTGTAGAAAGAGTACCTGTTTCTTATACACTGCAATTACAAGTAGGAATTTTTGTAAACATTTTTAATATTTAGTGAAGAAGCAATGACATCAAACAAAAGAGTAGATTGGACACCTAGAAAGAGATGTAATATTATTGTGTTACGAGAAAGTGGTCTTTCCTATGCTGAAATTGCAAGACAGGTGGGTGGTTCAGTGACTACATCTGGAGTCCGAAAGTTTTGTTTACGATATCAGGAGACAAATTCAATAAAAAACAAAGAAGGGAAAGGCCGAAAAAGGTGCACCACATCTATTGATGACAGAAGAATAAAAAGACAATGTCTCTAAGATAGAAAAATGTCATCAGCGGCCATCAGAAGTGATCTGAATGATGCTGGTGTTTCTGTCAGTTCAAGAACAATCAGGAGAAGATTAACAGATGTTGGACTGAGAGGTAGAATTCTACGAAAAAAGCCTTATCTTAATTTTCAGCAACGAAAAAAAAAAGACTACAATGGGCAAAGGAACACATTAATTGGACAGATGATCCGTGGTCACAAGTTATATGGAGTGATGAAACTAAGATATCGTTATTCGGTAGTGATGGGCGAAAATATGTAAGACGTAGAATAGGAGAAGAGCTACATCCTGACTGCATTCAAGCAACTCTGAAGAACCCAGTTAGTGTTATGATTTGGTCATGCATGTCAGCAGATGGTATTGATCGCCTTCATGTCATCGATGGGACACTGAATGCCAGAAAATACATTGACACTATTCTAGAACAAAATCTTCTACCTTCCATCAGAGATCTCTTTCCCAACAATGCTTCGTTTATCTTTCAGCAGGATTCTGCTCCTTGCCACACGGCCAAAATATCGAAAGAGTGGTTTCGTACAAAGAGCATTAAATTATTGTCTTGGCCAGGAAACAGTCCTGACCTCAATCCTATCGAAAATTTGTGACACCGTTTGAAAACTCTTGTCCGAATGAGGCGCCCATCAAATAAAAGGGAAGTAATAGAGGCTATAATTGTTTCCTGGCATCATGTAATAACGAAAGAAGAGCTTAAAACTCTTGTCAGCTCAATGAAACTTCGATGTGAAGCTGTAATAAAAATAAAGGGTACCCTACTAAGTACTGATAGCTCACTGCATTCATCACTATCTAATGTATATCGATAACTATTGTCGTTTAACTTTTTTGTGTTGCAAATAATTGAATTTTGTGTTTTGTATTGAATTCAGTAATACATTCTCTTTAAAATGATATATACAAGTTTGCATTTTGTGAAACGTAACGTTTTCTATAAGCACACAAAGTTCAAAAACATAAAAATTTCCAAAAGTGTCCACAATTTTGGCCACCACTGTATTCGACCATCTAGTGGGCAGCAGCTATCAGCGGACAGTTCAAACCAGCATAAGAAGCTAACTTAATATTACCGAATGCTGTATAAAATATCGCGTTCCTTTGCTATTTAAGCCTAATTTGTATTCTAGGTAAGGCGATAAAAAATGAAAGATATATAAAAGGATTAATAAAAAAAAACTTATAATTTATGATCCAAAAAAATTTAACCAGAAGCAGTAGTTTTTTTTAGATACTTCTAAGCTGCACATGGCAGTTCGGAATGTGTAACGGAATTAACGTTAACACAGACATTCAAATGCCCAACTGGAGGAAAATAGATTTTCTGCGTTTCTTGGCTATAAAACGTTAATTTATACAGTAGAATGAAAAATTTATTCACTTACCACCTCTTCCAATAAGGAAATCGAAAGCATGAGATGGGCGAGCTAATGTCAGGGGATGAGTAAGGATTTCTTTCGCTAGATGGTAATCATTTATGCAGATAATAAGTTGAGGTCCAATGTAAAAGCTGCAAGAAAAACAATATTCACTAATATTTTTTGGAAAATGAGTTAAAAACTAAGATCTTGGATAATTTATGAAATACTGAGATAGCTGTCAGTGCTGCACACTATTTCTTTTTATTTAGCAATAGACAATCGTATTGATGTTATACTCAGGCATCTTAAAGCAGGAACTGTGGCAACTTAGAACTTCGTAGCATGCCTTCGTGGTGTAGTGGTCAACACGCTCGGCGCGTATTTGAGAGGCCCCATTGAGGGCATTGCTTATTTTTCATCTCTCCTGCTTCGAAATAACCTAATGACTCTTCAAAAAAATTTTCTCTCTGTTCCAATCATCGTGAAGCATTAGTAGCTGGAAACCTGAAAAATGTTAATATTATTAAAAGCGGAACTTCGAGAATATTTACGATTTTATGTCAATAGATGAACAGTGAACGTGAAACGCTTTTGTTACATTCCGAAGAAAGGTGGTTATCCAGAGGCAAAGTTTTAAATCACCTGATCGAAGTTCAAAAGAAGTTCGATCAGAAATTCAAATTTTCCTTTGTGATTAAATATTTGAATTGCAAAAATGTTTATTTAGGGAATTCTGGTTGGCGCGTTTAGCATATTTAGTTAAATTTAAATGAAATAAATTTAGGATTACAATGACAAAATGTTAATTTGTTCACCATAAGAAATAAAATAAATGCAATTATAAAAAAAATCGAACTAATAATCAGAGAATTGGATAATATTTTAAGCTTTTCATCACTTGTACATTCTAACAGAAAACGGTTTGAAAATAAAAGAAATAAAAGACAGTTTACCATCCGACATTACTAACCATTGTTTTTATTGATAAATAATTTCAAAATGTACTTTCCCGAGGATTATGGAAAATAAAATTAGATTAGAAATCCATTTTGTTCAAATGTACCTGAAACTTTATTTCGTGAAGTAAAAGGGCAATTGATAGAAATTTTCTGTGATCGAACCCTGACTCAAGATTTCAAAAATGTCACGTTTGCAAACTTTTAGCTGAGCAGAAAAAAAAAATTAAAGGCATTTCAAATAAAGCTATTAAATTTTTATTGCTTTTTGCAGAACCTATTTGTGTGAACAAGGATGATCTTCCATGTCATATTTAAAAAATAAATACAGAACAAAATTAAAAGTGGATCCTAATTTACGGTTAAAACTAAGTGAAATAAGATCAGACATAAGGAAATTGATCTTTCTGAAACAGGCCCAAATTTCGCTCTAAATTTTAGAATTAAAGTATTATAACTTAAATCAAAACCTTAAAGATAATTAATATGGTAACCAATTTTTAATCTAATATTTTTATGTGTGCATCTTTAATACAAATAGACAATAGGTTATTCAAACGGTAAAATATTTTTTAAAATATTTCTATTAAGAAATTGAAAAATAATCATTGTAAAACGTAGCGGTGGTACTGAAGTTTTTCAATATTTGTTTAGATGGTACTCGTTAGTCAAAAGGTTGAGAATCGCTGATTTATGTTATAATAATGCAAAAGATAATAATGCAGAAAATCCACACCATAACATCACTTTTGGTGAATGCAACGGAACTCTTAAGAAAGGGACTCCCAAATTCGGCAGCTGTGAGTATTCACTACACCATCCAAATCAAAATACGTTTCGTCAGAGTATATTCCAATGCCATTCTGATTCGACCCCAAAGCGAGCAAGAAACTGAAGTGAGAACCGGTGGCAATCGTCAAAATCACAAGGAAGCAACCACTGCACTAGTGAAAGTTTGTAAGGATAATATCTCCAAGATCTTATGCACAGTTGAACCTGTCCTATCTAATACCTCTGCTACACGTCGGACACTGCTGCTAGCCTGAAAGTTTGAAGCTGTGTCGTCAAGCACCTGAAGCGCAACCTCTTGAACTGCTTCTGCAGAAACGTGTTTTCTTCCTGTACCAGGGCGAACAGAAAACGGCCTTTATTTGTTCAAATTTCGTTATCATTTTCCGAAAGATTCATCCACTGGACACCTTCAAATCCCGTTCAAAGCCCACAATTTCCGCACAATAGCTACTGCAAAATTACTGTTTTGGTAAAACCATTTTATTAACGAAGCGCGATCCTGTAGACTTATCATCATTGTGAGCAGCAGACATATTGAGAACGAAACCTCCGCGAATGTTTCTACGTTTACAACAGCTGCTGCGCCAACAAAGGTATACATTTTTACTATAGGTTTCCAAAGCAAAACGGCATCGTATGGTGCCGCTATTAGTAACTAATTTTTCCCTCCGTCGAAAGACATTCCCATCTCTTCATTAAGTCTGCCACAAAAATTTAACGATTTTCTGTGACTGGTTTCGGCTGTAGGTAGCTTTGAATTCTGAACACCCTGTATTTGTGCATCTTTCCAACCTATAGCTAATGACTGTCAGAAAAAAAATTAAACGCGAAAATCAAAATACAACTAATTCCGAAAGTAGCAAATTACAGAAAATCGACGCTGTTGTGGCCCAGATTAATACATAATACATTAACAAGAAGCAAGTCAAAATTCAGTCTCTGCAATATGCGAAAACTGCAGAGAAAAATTAATGCAGTTGAAAAACAAAGAAATTACTGCTGTAATGGTATTGATTCAGGTACACAGGTTCCGATGCTAAACAGTAATGTTTTACCGCAAAGCGCTCAAGATAACGGAAAATTCGAGTTGATATCTGCATTCATTGAAGAAATAGAAGGGTAACTAATAATGTAATTTATGTCATTGAAAGATGATGATTCCGATTTATTAATCTCGTAAGTATTTTGGTGGCAGTGACTGATCTCTTGACTTACACTGTTTATTATACGTACAGTCCCTTGAACTCCTTTGCTGGTGTATTGATTACACTGGAACTCTTGCCCGGTGGATGTGGTTTGATTGGGGGGGGTTGAAAGGGGAAACGGAATTGGAAGGAAAAGATAATCGTAAATGATGTATTGAAATTCTGAGAGAAGCAGCTTTCTTGCCCTATTTTAGAAGAAGTAAGAATTGATTTAAAACAGAGGAAAGGAAACTTTATGGAATTTGATAATCTAATTTTTCATACGGATAAAGTAATCAGATATTTAATTCGGCAGTTAGTTCTTCTAAAAAATCTAAAAAAAGATGTTTTAAAATTAGCATATGAATATGTTTTCGGAGCTCAAATGGGAATAAAGATGTCAAAAGCGAGAATCAGATATAATTTTTACTGGCTCAAAATGGCTAACTATATTACAGAATATTTCAAATCATGCGATTCGTGTCAGTTAAGGAGTAGCGAGAAAATAACTGATAGAATTCCTTACCCCAGTTTCTAAGACCATTTGAAGTTGTTGATATTGATATTAAAGGTCCTGTAGGACCTCTTTCGGCTGGGAAACATAAATATGTTTTATGTCTAATGGATCAACATTCACGTTGTTCAGAAGCCATTCCATTTCGTTCTTCAACAGCAAAAGTTAAATATGATGCTGTGTTGCAAATATTTTCAAGAACTTGTTTTCCGAAAATTATAGCAAGTGATCAAAGAACCAACTTAATTTCTCAACTGACACAAAAAATTATGAAGAGTCTTGGATGTCATAAAACATTTTAGGATATCCAGTTAGTAAAGGTCTCGTATAATGATAGAATAGAGTTTTGAAAAAGGCTTTGCATTATATCATCCTCACGGATCCGCCTAATTGGGTTATACATCTGCCGTATTTGCTTTTTGCTTACAGAGAAGTTCCCAGTTCTACTACAGAGTTTCAAGTTAATGTATGGCCGAGAGATACGTGGCTCAATGAGTGTTCTTAAGTCTAATTACAGTGGTTAAATACTGGTACTTTTAAATATGAAGCAGTCGCTTGCTGATTACTTACAGGAAATGAAAATAAACTTAGAGCGAGCTGAAAATCAAGCATGTTTGTTAGCACCTGAGAAACAGGCAGCTTATTCGAATTACTTCAACTGCTGAACTGTTCCTAAAGAATTTAAAATACTAGATAAAGTTTATTTATTCATTCCTGACTCATACAATAAACCTTAAGTAAAATGGACTTGTCCATGGGAAATCATAAAGTACTGTCCATCTCATTCATATAAAGTCAAACTCTCTGATGGGAAAATAAGACATGTTCACGTATTTAGAAGGTATATCGCTAAACTAAATGACGTGGGAATTATCTTCAAAAATAAAGAATTTGAAGAGCTTCATCCAACTTCGGAAGCTTTATCTCAGACTATAGAAAGCATTCTGCAGAAGTTCGAACTTGAACATTTAACGAGTGATCAACAGCAGAAAATTCGACAACTCATAAGAAAGCACGAATCGTTATTTGCAGGTAAAGTGAAAATTACGAAAGTTGGTTGTCTCAAGAAAACATTAAAAGTCATAGAAGAAAGTAAAAAACCATGTATTTACCGAATTCCTGAAACTTAAAATGTCAAAGTTAATGAACAAATTGAAGAGCTGTTAGAACTTGATTTAATAGAAGAAAGTAGGGCTGAAATTACATTCCTGTCGTTTGTGTAAACAAGAAAGATGGAGGAATTGGAATTGTGTGTTGATTATTGTGCATTAAATACTGACAATTACCGATGATTAATAATACTGAGGATTTTACTATGCAAAGTGCAGTAGAATTTATACATTCGGTAGGACAAAAGCTAATACAATATCAACTAGATTTTTCAAAGCTATTGGGTTATTCCCATGGATCCTGAAGGTCGTGATTGCTACTCATTTGAAACCCATCGACAATAATACAGATTCAAAAATTTGAGTTTTGATCTGAAAAAAGCTGCAGCGACAATTGCAAACAACAAAACAATTGCGGCAAGCATTTCTACGAATACAGAGATTTTGCCAGAGCATAAGAGCGTATACTGCACATATACAATTTTTTCAAGGGACTGAAAATCCCGTTATGATTCATTTGGATATAATACTCACAAAGTTAGAAGACTTTGCTTTACAGTAAATACCAGAAAATGTAATGGTGCCAAATCACAA